ATCAGAGATATACTAAGGGCGGTACAAATCAGACAGAGAAAATATTATGATGTCAAGCACAGGCCTATTGAGTTTGAAGTTGGGAGTTTATTTTTATCAAGGTCGGTCCATTAAAAGGTGTGCAACGATTTCAGAAGACAGAAAAATTGAGATCCAAATTTGTCGGTCCTTTTGAGATTGTGGAGAAGATTGGGAAGGTGACAAATATATTGGCTTTATCAGCACATATGCAGGGAGTGCATAATGTTTTCAGCATTTCTTCACGAAGACAATATATTACAGATGAAGCTAGTAAAGTGATAGCAGACTCAGTTGATATTCAACACCTAATCTAACGAATGTTAAAGAGCTTGAAAGAATTCTAGATTACGATGTGAAGAAGCTGCAAAATAAAGAGATTCCATTCGTGAAGGTTTTATGGAGGCACGGATCGAAGAAGGATACAACTTGGGAGAAGGTCTCTGAGATGCAAGAAAGATATCCTCAGTTTTTCCCTTGAGTACGTTTACTTTCATGTTTATTTTCAAATTTCCAGAACAAAATTTTATAAAGAGGGGAGATTGTAATAACAGCAAGTTAAAAAAATAAATAAATGAAATAACAATAATAAAAATAATAGTAGTAGTTAATTGAATAGGCAAGAAAGATAAGCACGCCTTCAGTTCAGACTTAAGAGTCATATTACTCCTCATTCTAACCAACGTAGAGAACGAGCGAGAGAAAACGGAAAAGATCGAGAAAGGAGGTTGTGTCCTAGTCTAGTAAGGAAGAAGTCGCAGGGAGGAAGAGAAATCGAAGAAGTAGCGGGTGTTGTGTCGACCCATACGAGACAAGAGAAGGAAGGAGTAGATATTGTCTCTTACCTGTGTTCAGGTCGAGCCCTAGTAAAAGGAGGAAGACCATGCGGCTTGTGTGTGGAGGAAGAGGACAAATTTTGCACACGTGCTATCTACCTCAAGCCCCAACTGACTGGTCGAGGAAGGGAAGAGGTCACAGCTTCGAGTGTTGCCACCGTAAGAAGTAGAGGGGGAAGAAGGAGACTTCATCGTAGGACTCGCACAGAGGAAGAGGAAGAAGAAAAGAACGCAGCGTTGTCTACGTCGAGTTGTGTGGTGTTGTATGCATCAAACCGTGTAAACAAGAAGAGGGTAACCGCATTGTTTACACGAGGGAGAAGAAGATATTAAGGTGAGGTCGACTGAAACTTATAAGGTATGTTTAATTTATAAGGTAAATAATATGTTACTACATAAAGTAAATTTATGTGTGAGGGTGATTAATAACAATATTTATGGGTAATTTATCTAAAAAACAGGACTGATAATTAATGTTTTCAGATTCGAAGGAGAAGTTGGAGGGGCGTACGAGTTAGGAGGATCAAGTTAGGCAACTTATAACGTAAATATTAATGGTATATTGCTATTAGAACAAATAGTATAAGTATTTAAATTAATATTTTTTTATGTGATCAGAAAGGTGTAGAAGGCTGAAAAATTATCAAGTTTTGGATAAAGACTAAGAACTTTAAGGGCAATAGAGGTTAGTGTTTTTAATCTTTCTTACATCTTTAAATAAGCTAACCACATTTAAGTCTTTCCATTAAAATGAAGTTCTTATAAGTATATGCACATTTTATTGATTTAGGTAAAGTGAAGAGAAGTAATAAAATTTTTCAGAGGTCTTATGAGTCAAGGTAAATAATTATTTTCTTATACGCATTAAATTTAAATTTTATTAAATGAAGAATTTCTTTATTAAACAGTCATTGTTGGTCTTAAGCCCGGATGTGAAAAGTTGAGGGTTGCATTAAGTAGTCGACAGCTAGCGTAAAATTTGTCGAAAAAAATCATAACATAAATCCTTTTAATCATTGCGTAAGTGCTAGAGCGTCCCATATAAGCGACGCGTTGTATAGCCTGAATACAGTGAAAAGTATGCAATGGCCGCTACACCGGTGCCCGGGTGCAGTGTCTAAAAAGCAAGGGTTCCCACATTACGGACAGATGCGGGTAAATAAATTAGTCCATGAAAAATTAGTCCATGAAACTAGAATAGGATCTTGGAATATAGGTACTCTCAATGATAAATTAATAGAAATAGTTAATATTATGATTCATAGAAAGATTATTATGATTCATAGAAATAGGAAAATTAATATCTTATGTATTCAAGAAACTAAGTGGGTGGGAGAAAAGGCTAAGGAGATTGATAATTTAGGTTTTAAACTTTGGTATTCTGGTAAGAGTCGCACTAGAAATGGTGTAGGTGTAATTATAGATAAGAGTTTGAAAGATAATATTGTAAAAATTAATAGAGTTGGTGATAGAATTATAGCCCTTAAGATTATCATTGTTACTAAGATTTTTAATATTATAAGTGTTTATGCTCCTCAAGTAGGTTTAGATATAGGGTTTAAAGTTAAATTTTGGAATGACTTAGAAGACTTATTACAAATGATACCTCTTGAAGAAAAAATTTTCTTTGGAGGAGACTTAAATGGACATGTCGGTAGAGTGGTAGAAGATTTCAGAAATATTCATGGTGGCTACGGTTTTGGAGTGACTAATGAAAAAAGAATAGCTATTTTAGATTTTGTTTTAGCGTACAATTTTTTTATTACTAATATTTTATTCAAAAAAAAAAAAGATAAGCATCTTATTACTTATAAGAATGGATCTAATAAAACACATGGATTATTTTCTTATGAGAAAAAGTGAACATATAGGCCATCCTAAACTTTGTAAAGATTGTAAGGTCATTCCAAGTG